CCGTCACGGCGGGAAGGGGGGGGGCTCCCGTGGCGCTGTCGCGGCCCGCACGTCGGGGTGTCCTCGGGGGGCCCGTCCCCGCGGTGTCACCGTCACGGCTCCGCGGTGGGGGGGCTCGTGTCGCGGTGTCGCCGCTCCCGTGCCCGGTGTCCCCGTGTCGCGGTGTCCCCGTGGCCGGGTGTCCCCCGGGGGGCTGGCGCTGCCGCCGCGCGCGGGGCGGCTGTCACGGCGCCCGCTGCCCTTGGCGAGCGGGGACAAAGGGGCTGCCGCCGGCACCGCGTCCCGGGGGGCACCGCCGCGGCCCCCGGGGACCCCCGGGCACCGCCACCCGCCCCGGGAGCCGTCACTGCCTTGGGGACGTGCCCGGCGCCCTTGGGTGCCACCAGGCGCGGTGGCACCAGCGACGTGTCCCCGTGCCCCTCGCGGTCACGGAGCCGCCCAGGCTGGGAATGCGCCGGGCAGGGGGCGAGGGGGCCGCAGCGCCCAGCGCTGCCGCTGCCCCGGCGCGGAAAGTCCCCGTGGTTGTCACCGCGCTGTCCCCGCGTGGGCGCCGCGCTGACACGCGTGGCCCCGGCGCGGGCACGGCGGCGTGGGGGGGGTTCGCTTGTGGTCCCCGTCCCGCCGCTGTCCCCACGTCACCCGTGCCCGGCGCGGTCCCCGTCCCGCCGCTGTCCCCACGTCACCCGGCGCCCCCCGCAGCTGCGGCGCCGCCGTCCCGTCGCCCATGAGCTCCATGAACCCCATGAAACCGTCGCTGCCGCCCACGCCGCACGGGTGAGTGACGCCCCGCGGGGGCCACCGCCGTCCCCCCCGCTCCCACCCCAAACCTGCCTTCCCGCCGCCGCTCAATTAATGAAGTTGTTTTGCTTTTTAGTGATGGTTCATTTGCATACGAGGCAGTTCCTTGGCAACCGAGCACGAACCAGCCGGCAGGATCCCTTTCCGTGGTAACCACCGTGTGGGGCGTCAGCAACACCTCGCAGAGCCAGGTACCGCCGGGCGCCGCGGGGCCCGCGCCGCGCTCGCCGCCGGCCCCGCTCACCGCGCCTGCCGCCCTAGGTGCTGGGCAGTGCCATGGGCCCCGGCGGCACCGGCTCCAGCGCGGCGCCGCTGCTGCCCGGCATGGCCGGCGCCGCCTCGGGCATGAACTCGCCGCCGTTCCTGGGCCAGCAGCCGTTCGCCGAGGGGGCTCCCGCCAAGGGCTACGTGCAGCAGAGCGTCTACGGCCGCGGCGCCTACGCGGGCGGGCCGGGCTTCGGCGCCGGGTAAGGGGGGCTCCGCGCGGCCCCGCGCGCCCGGGGGCCTCCGCGGCTCCC